AGGTTTATATTATGTTGTGGGGACCAAATGTCCCCCACAGTGTAATAAAAACCTGTTATTTTGAAGTTGTCCCCACAAAGATCTGAATCAAAAAATGAAAAATGCCAAAAGTCTTGTATTTTGTTTGGTTACTTATGGTTAGGGTTAGGGCTGGGTTAGGGTTACGGATGTCATGTTGGGATTAGAGTTTTGTGTGTGTGAGTGCGTGTCTGCGAGTATGTGTGCGCGTTTGCATGCCCTGGGCTTGTAGTCTTCCAGAGCCATCCTTGTATAAATAGTCAGTGAGAGAGCACGCTCGATGCCACTCCGCCGTCCGGTCACGCTTATCTCTGTGGGGGTGGGGGGGCGAGAGCCTTCTGGGGGTTAATCTCAGACGCTGCAGCCAGCTGGAATCCTGCTCTGACAATACAGCCAGATCCTCTCCTGTTTGGCTCAATGCAGTCGATTAGAAGATTAGCAAAAGAGGCTTAAATAAGCTACTGAATGGTTTACATGTTTATAAGAGCTTTTTAAAACTAAACAGTGCAAGGTGATGTTAAAATTAGAGCTTCCTGGCACTTGGACGAGCGGCCGTTCAGGCAGAGGGGCTAGATCAGTAGCCGCTAAAGCAGCTGCAGCCCATGGCATCTGACACTGTCCAGCCCGGTTGGACAGACGCCGTTGATGTGCCGTTTGCTCGTGGTCCATCAGCAAACAGCTGGATTTTACTGGATTATTTTCCAGCTTCATGTGTTCCAGGCTGGCCGTTCTGGCAGGGCAACCTCGACTCTAAGGAATGTCCCTTAAACAAAGACGCAGTGAACTTGGCAGAGAGATGATCCCCAGTTTTGGTTGAATTGCCTCTTTTTACCCTTTTGTGTGCAACGGCTGGGTGGAGGAGTTCGGGAGCTGTCAGAAGTGCCCCAGATTCCCGCCGTGTGAGCCTGCCTTCATGGGTCCGTGGTGCACATCAGGAGCACAGTGTCAGCCTGTGTACTGTGAAGGCCACAGGTGGGAGGCCATCACAGGATCACATTCACAGTGACATGGTGTGTGTCTAGATCATTCTGACAGTGACCTGCAGAATGTCTACAAGACCATCACAGTGATATTTGAGGGTATTAAGAACACTTTCACAGTGGTATGGTGGAAATTGAGAAGGCCTTCACAGTGATGTGAGAGTGTATTGAGAAGGCCTTCGCAGTGATGTGTAAAGCATTGAAAGGCCTTTGCAGTGATGTGGAGGGTATTGACGCGGCCTTCACAGTGATATGGGAGCAAATTGAGAGGTCTTCGTGGTGATGTGGAGGGTATCGAAGCGGCCTTCACAGTGATGTGGAGGATGTTGAATAGGCTTCCACAGTGATGTGGGTATGTCTAAAAGGCTTTCACAGTGAAACACTTTACACTTTAAATTTACTTCACTTATTTTAATGTCCTTACACTTATGTACAGTATATTGCCTCTTTCCTGAACAAATGACAGGCTTCCCTCATCCCATTAGAAACTGGAGCTTTTCATCTGAGCTCCTGGACCTCAGTGACATGAAGGCATCAGGGGAGACTCAGCTTACAGGAGATTATCTGGGGCTCCTCCTTCATTCTGAGATGACACAAATCCTGAACTTCCGTGGCAGCATTTCCACTTCACTGCATCTGCTTAGTCTCATCCTGGGGGGGGGTTACAGCTGTGTTAAAATGGCGGCCAGTAGTTGCTGCCAGCTCCACCCTTGTTCATTGACGCTTGGTGGGAGATTCCCAGCTTGACCTTCTCCTGAACTTCTGTAGACCCTAACCTCACCTCTCCCTGACCCACTCTTGACCCCTCCCTGATCCTTCCCGAAAGGTACCCTCTGAGGCTGGACCCTCAGCTCTCGTCTGAATTAAACCAGGATGACTGGCTGCCCCCAGAGGGAGGACAATGTGGAGGGGGCCACAAATGGCTACTATGAGTTTTTGTAATGTTGCAGATGTTCAGAATGTTTAGAGGTCCCACATGGAAAAAAAAAACTTGACTGCTGGCCAGGACTTAGACGCCAGTGCTGATTGGTGGTTTCTGGTAAATACAGAGGAAAGGAGACTGGAACAGCCAGCGCCTCAGAGCAGCTGATTGGCTGAGGTGCCTGGAACATCGCCATGGAAACCACAGCTGCTCTTTAGCTACAGAAATGTATTTAAATACACTATGAATGTGACAGGTGATCTTATGAGGGGAGGGGGTATCTGTTCTCAGGTGCTATTATCCCCCCCCCCATGGGAGGAACCAGGTCAATGAACCAGTACAGTAACTGGATGCTGGAAACCTCTGATATTATGGGAACTAGGATACTTGTCTAGCTACAAAAAGAATCTTTTAACATTAGTCTGACACGCGTTCATATGCACCCACCCAGGCGAGCATGTGAGTGTGTGAACTTCCGCAGGCCGCAGCGCCATTAGTAACGCCAAACTCCACCGCGGGACAGCATCATTTGTCATAAGAAAGCTTCTGGAAAGTTCCCTGTGAATCCGTCCCGCCGCACACTGTTTATCTGAAACTGGAAAATCGAGCTGAATCGCCACAAAAAGATGTACCCGGGCCGACATAAATCGTGCTGTTTATAGTGCTCTGACACTGCTAATGGTCTCCGTTGCTGAGGGTAGGGTGATGAGTGCGTACTGCCAAAAGGTGACCCGTAAAGACCTCCCAGACGGCCGACTCTGCCACACAACACCTCAGAGCAATATGGGGGGGGGGCTGCGTTTCCGTTTTGTTTTGACTTCAGGCTGTAGTGTCACCGTTAGAGTCATAGACATCAACTGAAGCTTGATGGTCCACGGCCCTGGAGATCTTTTAAGGAACTGATTGTACATGAAATATTCCACAAACATTTCCTGTTGGTTAAATAGAGAAAAAAAATTGAAAGGTGCTCTGTGTAGAAGAGTCAGCGAATATCTGAACTGTTTATGTCACCACCCATGTTAATGTCCTTCATCCACGTGGCAGAAAGGATCTACTGCTACAACTACTGTCAAATTTCACAAATTCAAGGCATTTTTAAAAATGCTGTCATCCAATTCTCAGTAGTTATCCGGCTAAGCAAGAAATCCTGCTTTCTGAAACGGGCCCCAGTTCTGGCTCAGTTAATTGTTAGCCATTGTTAGCAATGTCAGTTGATAACAACATATTAGGCGGTATTTTGTGTAGGCAAACACTGTAGCAACGCGTACAGAGAGTGCGGTTGGCCAGTACGGTGTGCATGACCGATTTAACTGAAACGCAGATAAGACATAAGTGGTAATAGACAGTATAAAACTACAGTTTTAACTCCTGTTGATAAATGGTGCAGCCATGTTGAATTCTAAGGTCGGGTTACAGAGGTTCCTCTGACTTTCCGACTTCAGGAGGGCGTTCCAGTTGAAATTTCCAACCAGGAACTCAGAAACTCTGACTTCCGAGTTCAGACGGAGCGCAGCTTGTGTCTTTGGGGTGCAGGAAAAAAAAACCCACAAAAGACATACGAACCGAAGCTAAATAAGATGCAGACCGCCACCTATCACCCAAAAATCAGCAAAATACAAAGAACAGGCCAATAGGTGGGTACATATAACACATCACTTACAGTCTAGGTGTTTTGCAGTCTATACCTGAACAGACTGTAAAATTCATCCATCCATCTATTCAGGGTCGCAGGGTCCAGAGCTCATCCCAGAGGCTACGGGCACAAGGCAGACTGTAAAATTATATAATCAAAAACTAATTTTATTGCATAGCTTGAGTATGATGAATATTTGCATGTGTATTGTGTATTTTAAAATTTTATGCTTTAATGGCAGGCATGCTGAGAGATGTAAGGGAATGTGTGTGGGTCATTTTATGGTGTAAACCTGGCTGTCATTTTGCGTAACAATCAATTTCCCGAACTCTGTGTGTCAATTTGTGATCAGTACTTGCCACAGAATCAGTACCAACGGTACCTCCTCCTGGACACCAAGGAGTTAAGTCCCTTAGGTGGGATTTGGGGTAGGGGACACAGGTGTGCTCTTGCCAAGCACCTACACCCCCCTTCACAAGGTGAATTTCCAAAATGTTCCGAGTGCCATAGAATAGCCCTCACTAAAGGCTTTCTGAAAAAACAACATAATCACCCCCCCACATCTATGTGTAAAGTCATACACAGATGCTGCCACACTCTTGAAAAGTCACTCACCCTCAGGTATGATGTTATTTTTTTTTGGGGGGGGGGGGGACATGGCTCAACAGGTCTGGCTGTGCAGCACAGGTGCTATTTGGGCTGGCAAATCGTTTAGTCCCCCTGCTCTTTGAACTGGAGCCTCAAAGGACTCATGGCTGGGGTGTCAGTCAAAGATGGAACAAGCCCCCCAGCACAAAAAGGCACAGAAGCTGGGGGGGACTCAAAAGCTGATCTTTGTGCTGCTTTACTAGGAACATGAAGATTAAATACAGACTCTTGTGTAAAGTAGGGGTGTCCAAGGTTTTCGATGGCCCTGGACGGGCATATCTTGTGCAAAAACTTCACGGACTTGTGGATTATGCACAGATAATAGGAAAACCGTCAAAGCCATAGCTTGTTCCTAACCGCCACTGTAACAAATCTCAGATGCACTGACATTTAAGTTTCCACAGTATAAATGGCACTTAAAATGATACTTAAAATCAGTTTGTTGTCATAAAAAATGTAGTGCCTTGAAAATATTTAGTGTAATTCTGTAAATGAGCCATCCCCTCGCCCAACTCCCCCGCATCCTTGCCCAGCGATAAACGATACACGGCTGCAGCATGTATATTGTAATGTACGTAATATAATGTAATGTATTGGAAGGTGAGAAGTTTCGACCGACTTCACCAACTCTGTACGCTGCATGAGTATGTATAAACACAGTGGATGTGTGGAGGGGGGGGAGGAAAACAGTAAATCTCAGAGGTGCAAAATAAATACAGCATTTTATTGGTGTGTAAATGGTATGGAAAATGGGTGGATGGGTATTTTACTAGGTAAAAGTAACAAAAACACATTCATCTTCAGTCTTCCCCAAGTGCTCACAGAACAGAATATCTAAAAACAAAGACCTGCAGGCCAATCACCCACTGTATTTTACACAATTATTGACTTTAAAAGTTTGTTCCCTACATCTGGATGTCTTACCTTTATTTATACATCTACATGTTTGTTTATTGATGAGACATCTTTATTTCTTCTCTGTTTTATTTTCATTCTGTTTATTGTTTTGTGTATTCATGTCTATGTTTAAATTGTATATGTCATTCCGCCACCTGCACCAAAACAAATTCCTGTTTTGTACTTGGCAATTGTGCATTGTGATTCTGTCAATGCTGGATCAAACAGTTCACAGTTACATTATGAGTCTGTGTTCGCTTAGAGTGATACACTGTTGCAAACAGAGCCGTCCTTGAGGCACAGTTGGGCTTCCTTCAGTCTTCCCCTTTCAGCCCCCTCGCTACGCCCTTATCTCTGTTTTGATGGCGTCGTAACCACAACCTTTCTTTTTTTTTCTCCGAAAGGCATTTGTGAAGTGAAGAATGGAACCTTTTATCTCGGTGTTTCCCATCCCAGTCCTTGGAGGACACGCACACAGTCCATGTTTTTGCTCCCTCCCAGCTCCTGGGGATTGTCTGGTAGGGAACTAGGAGGTACTAGGGACCAAAAACGTGGACCGTCTGTGGATACCTGAGGACCGGTTTGGGAAACACTGCTTTATCTGATCAAAAAAGGGGGCATCGGGAGAGCCGGCCTATCAGGAACCAGGCCTGAGAGCAAGATATTGAATGAGACCTGAACACAGCTGGAAATCAGTGTGAAATCAGTGGCATGGAGCCGTTTACCATATCAAGGTCAAGGTCCTTTGCATACCATGTTTGGACACCCTTTCATTTTTACGTTCTTCCTGGGGACTCAGTCACGCTCCCATCTGTACCCAAAAATGAGAGATGGACACATTTCCCACTTGGAAGACGGGTGCCAAGTTGACCCTTTCGTAAACAAAAGGAGTCTAAGTACTGATCTCAGCAATAATGGTATCCAATGGGCTGCTCCTTGCTTCTTAAATTCCATTCTGTAGGATGAAATCAAAAAAAGAAAAAAAAACTGGAAAGATGTTGGTGGAAACTCTGAAAAAGAGCCCTAGATTAGCGGCCATGGGTATGAGGAGGTTAGCCATAGGTGGAGAATAACGACATCAGGCGCAGTAACCGTGCGAGTAACTGTGCCAGTTTAGCTGGCATGAGACTGGCTAGTGGGCCGTCGAAGGCTGGCAGCGTGCGGGGAAATCCACCAAGGTCTGCCAAAAGGCAAACTCTTCCCACACTGCACACGCCCATGCTGACTGCCCGCTCGATCCTCCCTGCTCTCCTGTAAAGTAACAGCACTTCTGTAAACACGTCAGTTGAAGCTGTGCAGCGACAGCAGCCTCGGGCTTTCAGGCATAGCCAGCCTGAGAACATCTGTGCCACAAAATGCCTTCTCTGATTCCAGCTCCAGACCTACTGGATGTCTCTGCAGTGTCTCTGTACCAGCAAACACAAGGCAGTGTCCGCATTCATGGCACCTGCACGTCTTTATGTCATTGTCTAGTTTTACTGCCTGTAATGTTTGACACTGTGTTTAGTCTCTTTCTAGCCAAGTATGGCTGGACATACAAGGATTGCAATGCGTCTGTTCCACGTGGTCAATAAAGATCTTGCATCTTTAATTTTGGCATCTCATCCAGGCTGTACCCTAGCCTTGTGCTGCCTAGAATAGGCTCCATGTGACCCACCCCCCACATTATTCATTACTTGAACTGTATGTCTCATCTGCCCTGGATAAAAAAATAAAAGAAAAGATTAAGTTATTTTTTCCATAGCCATGCATTTCACCATATTTTGCTTTCTTCTGTGTGAGTTTCCCAGAATTGAAAATGGCTGTTTGCATAAAATGATGTCCGATTCCTAACATTATGTGTTTTATTCCCCAAAGAGAAGCCCTGAAGCCACCCTATGTAACTGCCTTTCTTTGTCTCCACCTTCTTGCATAACACTGGTCCCTGCACAGCCTGGGTGGGCCCTGTTTGCTGCGGTCATCCTTCCTAATCTTGCGTTTGCTTCTCTGTAGTGCTTTGGGAAGTGCGGGTCAAAGGTTCTGCCATTCTGTCAATGTTTCCTTCAACGCCTCAGTGCGTGGAAAAAAAAAATGCGTTAATCAGTGAAAGGAGGATCTCTGTTTTCATCACGGTTATCGAATAGTCACAGTGTTACCTGTCCATTCAGCTGGACATTGTGCTGTACACTGCATGGGACAATGTCGGTTAAGGAGTTTGCTCATTCCTGCAACAGCTATTCTTTGCTGGAGCTGAAACTAATAATTCATTTATTTAATCACTAAATACCTAGACTGCATCATGTGATTTAACTGGGTCCTGTGGAAGGGTAATGTGATTAATATGGTATTTTAACATTAGCACAATGCAGTGCAATATTCTACTAAATACCAACCAGGATAAGGGTATGCTGGCTGGCGGGCTTCCCTCATAATGGCTGGCGTGACAGACCAGCGCTCCCATGTGCGGAGTTGGCCATGGCAGCCCAGAAGTTCAGATGGAGCAGGAGAGGCTGTGGGTCAGGGGAAACTTCCGCTGTTTCCAAACAAAGGGATTAACGGTCACTCACCTACTTTCCGGATTTTTTCTCTGGGACCTTGCAGTGGCGTGCATCGGCAACCCGCCTACCAGAACACTAACATGGACCCTCACCTCTGACGCTGCAGACACGTCAGCCCCGGGACCACGGGCCGTCCTCGACATGGTGCTATGACGTGATCAGCTGACGGAAACATTTAGGAGGCGATACGGCGCAATTTGCCGCCATTGCCCGTGATAAACACTACGTTTTATTTATATTGTAAACGTCTGCATGACTGCTCGCCGCTACATGTACAATTTATTGGTTAATGTTAAACACTCTGACTCTCCGCGTTTAATGAAAATGTGGCTGGCTTGTAAACGCTGTGAATCTGGGGAGTCCTTGTTAAATTCAGTAATAGCACCGCACCATCTACCTACCTAACGTCATGTGACATGAGGACCAGTTTTTCATGTTTACCATAGTCTATGACCAAAGTTTTCTACTTTTTTTTTTGTTGTTGTTGTTTAGTATTTTTAGTCAAATTTCCAAAAAGTTAGTTTACATAGTACCTTTGTTTTTTTTTTATCCACATAGTTAGGAACCAACTCTTGCCCCAAGTCAGTCCGAGTGATTTTTATAGGAAAACACCCATAACACAGGTTTGCATTAAAATGGATTCGGAAAGGAATTTACCATGTCTGAAGTACGACATCCGTCAGCAGCGGCACGGGAGCTGCTTCCAGCAGCATGACAATGACCCTCAGATAAATGCCGTTTTGTGTGGCTGGCAGGCCGGGGCAGGCTCTCCTGATCCGGGGAAAGTGAGGAGAAATCGGGGCTGTTAGCAGATAAAGACAAAAAGGCGCGTGATCTTCCATGCCACCGGGGTGGCAAAAATAAAATAAAATACCGTAAAACAACTGTTTGGTTTCGGTTTAGAGCAGTTTGTACTCGTACTGTGTATATGTGTGTTTATGATTGCGTTTAACGAGTAGCATGACATAGTAGGATGGTAAGGGATACGGCAGCCTATTGTTACTTGAAAAGTAGCTGCAATTTCGCCTTTACGGTATCTTTGAGCAAGTTACAAAATCTAGAAATACTGCACTGAAATAACTGTCTGTGTAATAGGATAAAACTGTTGTATTTTCCTTTGAAATCATTTCTCTACAATGAATTAGTCTGCCACTGGTTCTCCGCGTTTTTTCCAGGATTTTGTAGCAATTAATAGTAAGTAGGGGTTCAGCCGATATGCAGTTAATCATGTTCTTAAAATACTGAAGTTTACTGTAAATCCACAAACGTTGTTCCCCCACGATGAAAACCACTAAAAAGGCAATGGGACCAAATTGCATAAATAGGCTACATATTTTAGAGCTATGATGTGCAAAAAAAGATTTCTTTGTTTATTTGCCTGAAAAATACGTAGGGATTTTTACTTGTTTGCAAACAAGGTACCGATATAACTAAACTATCTTTTAATGCGAATCACTTAAAGTAGCTGTGCAGTCGTTGAAAAACAATTCCGGAGATAACTGGTGCTCCTTTTGATTGTCCCATAGAATCACGTGCATCCTTTATTCTTCTAAGGTTGATCTGTCACTAGGTTTTATCAAAAATAGACTATACATTTTTGACATTATAAACTCTATAAATAATATATAAATAATCGATATAAACTGCTTAGAAATTGACATCAGCTTTGCATGTGACGCTCACACCGTTTCGTTTATAATGATAACAAATCACATGCACGTTCCCGACTGTACCAGTTAGCATCAATGATTTTACGATCTTCAGTGTGCTTACAAACCACGGTAATCTTAGTTCTTGCTGGGCTTGCACGCCAATTTGATTCATTTTCACTGTCGCGGTATTTTAATCGTATATGACCCGTGCAGTTCTGTTCGCCAGTTCCAAATATAAAATGTACAAATACGAAGATACTGGAAATATATCACTTTCAAACTAAATACACAACACATACATTTGTTCGAATGTATGTGTTCAAATATTTAATTAAAATACTTTAATAAATTATATATATTTACTTTATATTTCTGACCTAATTATTAACATGTAATTGTAACCGCTGTAATTCAACGAAGGACATAAGCGAGCCAGCTTCTCAGAAAGTAAAATGTATATTTTTCTTTTTTTAGTATAAAATGATGGATTGCCAGTTGTATATAACAGTGAGCGTAAGCTTAGATGCTATTTTTTATTTTAAAAATAGCAAAAATGAAATTGAAAATAAATTAAAGTGTGAAGAAAACCATAACATTTGCAATAATCATACACTACCACAAAAGACAATGATACTATAATTTTAACGATTTTACAAAACACGTATATCAAAAGACGAAAACAGACATGTATATATTATATTCTATTATATACGGTCAGGCGCGCCACTGCAGTAGTCCTATTTATCCAAATTTTCATATGAATTATTTTACAATGATGAGTATTATTAAACGTCCCATACAGCTTTTAATGCAACCATCCCGAGGTAGAAACTATTCAGGAGGGATTTGAACGGCACCAGGGACGTAACAGCATCTCAGCTTTTCTGACGAGACATAAAACGTAGGCCTGTAATGAAATACTCGAATGAAGTTTGAGTAATTCCAGTGTACAACACCCGTAAAAAAGTATTAAACTATATATATATATATACACACACACACACATACATACATATATATATACACACACACACACATACATATATATATATATACACACACACACATACACACACACACATATATATATATATATATATATATATACACACACACACACACACACACACATACATATAGGCCTGTATACACAGATACACCAGAACCCCTGCATAATGCTACATATTACACTAAACACTGCTTTGGCCCCATATATACCCCGTAATGCCTTTAATGAATTAAATCAGACTCACGGCTTTGGTTATATTTTAAGAAATACCATTTGGCCACGTAAGTTATCCCTAATATCTAGGTGATGTGATTAGTTATAGCGGAGTACGTTCTTCAGCCTAACCCAGTAACATTGTGACATAATACAAAAATACACGTTCCTGCAAATAGTTTTGGTGATATTGGTTTGTTTGGAAGGTAATTGTCACAGCAGTGTTAATTTACCACAGAAACTCCGCTATTCCTCACCTGACTCTGCCGTTAGTGTGTACTGTAGGTGTGCTGTTAGCGGAAAGATTCTGCATCTCATCTCTCATTTCGGACAGTATAATGGAGTGCACTCGGAAACGGGGTTCCTCTCCAATTTAAAGTCCAGCGCGCGAAAAGGGGACTCTGGAAAACGCTCGAATTGAGGCTGGTTTCTGGAAAGAACTGTCTTAACCGCAAAATGTAAACTGGTTGTTTGCCCTCTGTTTAGTTATTCTAAAAATGAAGCGACTCATTTACGATATATAGGCTATATACGCACCTCGAGTCTCGTTCCAATATTTTCATCGCAGATTAATAATATTTAAATCGAATATTATTATAATTTTGATACACAAAAATATATAGGCTACAGTCTTTTTAAAAAAGAGAAACGTAAAGAACCTGCACCGACGCCCCCCCGACTGTGCCATAGGCTATATACCCCGACGGCTCTAGCTGCAGTATAAACACCTAAAGCATCATTCTCTGGCTGGCAAACATAATTGCTACCTTGAAATCGAAATTCCCACTCGTATTCCACATTTTGCAGTTCCGGCCCCGCAGATCCTCGTTACCAGACCTCTCCCCCGGCGCTGACAGCTCTCGCGCTGTCCGACGTAATTCTGGCGATTTCCCGAACAGTACAGTGCACTTCACCTGCACCTCTCCGTAGTAATGTTACCCCCCATCCCTTATGACATGGTTATAGATGGGATGGCTCTTCCGTTTACCGCGTCTGAAGTGCTACATTAACGATAGAGCGAATAACTGAGCCGAATCCGTTTTGAATGGGGGTATTTTTTCAACTTAAAAGTATTAAAAAAATTATTAAACCTGAGACGCATTATTATTATTATAATTATCATTATTTTGTTGTTGTCATTGTTTGAAATTGTTTTCAAAACGTCTGAATTCAACATTACCCTTAGATATCAGATTCCTCAATCTTCATTCGCGTTAACGGGGAATTTGCACTTATTGGGTTATTATAAGCGGGAATATAAAATGTATGTATGGATGGATGGGTGTCACTGGACGTGACCGCCCACGCCCTCTTTTAGTTAAGGTCGATTCACTTAGCGGCTATTTGAACTGCTGGCATGAATTGAAATATATTTTACCTCACGTGACTTGTAATTTAGGTCTGGGCATTTCTAGACTAAATAGCAAAAATACACAGTACCCACCCTGGGTAGGCGTTAGCCTAGTGGGATTAACAAAAAAATGCTGGCACACAGGCGACCAAGTACGACACACCATGAAAGAACTTTAATTTGATTTTAAGCTAAATTCGCGTGAAATGGATCATCCGTATTCATCCTTCAACAGTACTTATCGAACTTTCTTTCTCACAATGATAACGTATCTATGTCTTTACGCCAGAGCATTACAACAAGCAGGAAGCGCATCCCGCTGCGTGCTGCGTCAAAGTGTATAAAAATGCCGCTTAGAGCGCGCACTATGACCACGCTCCTGCACTGCGACTGCGCAACGGAAATTAAAGGTTACGGAAAATCATCAGTATACCTTCCTGGCCATGAATCATTAAACACTCATGAGGTGTTTGCTTTACTACATGTCTGCTTCTGTAATAGTTGAAGAATAATTAAAATGCATAATTTTAAATAAGATATATAAGGAAAGTGCCAGGAGAGTGAACTCACAGTCTGTTATTGTTTATTTATAAGAATAGGCCGATATAAGCATATACAAAAAAAACCCATTCAAATTGCTGGACAAAATTTACAATAACCTGTGAATTTCAGTGGTTTATAATGTGTAATGGCAATATATTGTCTCTCTGCACAGCCCTGGTTTATATGGAAAAAATAACGATGTTTATTTTCAGGACAGCTGGTGCCGTCCCAGTTGTTGACCCCAGAATGTAACCAGGTGTTACTGGTCCGCTATGGTAACTTTTTTGAATCTGTGACAAACACGGCTTATTCCTCCAGCAATATATCTAGATGTTTGAAAACAGCTACACTTTGCTTTAGAGGTCGGCTAAAGGGCAAATTTGGGTTGTGAAATGATAAAAAGACCTATAAGAAAAATGTACGATAAACACTTTTTATAAACACAAAATAATATTGTAAACATTCTGTAAATTTGTAAGAATCAAAATGCATTTAAGGCCGTTTAAAAAGTTTGATGTTTAAAACGCAGCTTTACAAGCTGAGAATAGAGGTGAAAGTCGATTATGAGCTGTTATGAACAGTTATGAGCTGTTATGAGCTGTTATGAGCTCCTCTGGTATTATACGCATTTCTGTTACTCTTAGCCACTTCTTCAGTGAGTGTTACGGCCATCAAACTTCACAGGCTGTAATACACAATATGATTTGTAACTTTAATAGATGTTCGGTTTGTCGGAATCTCATATATCCAAAACTTTTACTTACGTAGAGTAAATAGATTAGTATATACATACGACTTTCACTTAATCTCATGTCTCTTTCGTGAAACCCTCTCTTATAGAACTTGGTCTTTAATCTGTTTCGTCATTAAATTTGTTACTGGTAACAGGCCTATTACATGTAGTATGGGCGTCTGACCTATAATATCGAGCTTTAATTGTAATTCCTACATAACAAGGTAGATGGCGTAAAATTCCCGTGCTAATCTCGGTCACTGACCCTGC